AATATTAATCTCTTACCTACTAAAAAAGTTCTCTTTATCATATTTCTATTAAAATAATATTAATGAAAATTAAAATTTCTCTCACACACATTAATACTATAATACAATATAATGCGGCTTGTGATTGTAGAACGACATTTGAAAATTATCCCGCATGTGTTTCTTTTCAACGAAAAAAATCGTTATTTATTTTAAGGAGAAATAACGATTATTTCTCCTTAAAATAAATTTCGATTGTTCGTTAAAAATAAACACATGCGGAATAATTTTCAAATGTTCTACAATAATACTATACTAATTATTTTTTTTTTTCAAGAAAAGTAACTACTTGTTCTCGATTGCTTATATATAAGTTTATGCTAAGCCATTTCTTTCTTCTTTCCCCCTTGTTTGATACATTATAAATAACATTTCTGACTGATGTTATTTATTTATTTATTTCAACACATAAAATGCGATATCCAGGCTAGGGATAATTGCATCGATTTACATTTTTAAACAGAAACAGTTATAAACATATTATACAAGAAAAAAAATTGATGTTACTATTATTGTTATAACTGCATGTACCCTGCATTTTAACTCGAATAATCTGTATAAGACCAAAATATTTTAATAAAGTTTGTTGTTTTTGTTTCTATTAATGAAAATTAGCCTTTTTATTCAAAATTATTATTTGAGTCTAAAATTTCAATTATTATTATTATCATTTTTAATTACCTCGTCTATAGTTATGATTCGCAAATCTTAAATTTATTATAATCTTATAATTTTAATAATCGCTATATAGGTTTTATTTTTTCATAGAGAGTGAGTAAAATAAAAATATTTTAAAATTATAAACATATAATAAGAAAAAAATCAGTGAAAATAAGATATTGTTTTATACTAAAATATTTCCTTCCAAAAAGGATGACTATTGCTCAAAAATGTTTACACACACAATAATTTAGAATAACATTAAAATAACTTTTAGAATAACTTTTTTCCGACAGATGGCGTAAGCCATCAGCAACTTTTAGTCGAACGATCAGAAGATGCCTTTTTCTTAATTTATCCACCTGATCCCAGTACGAATTCACTTTTGTGCTCTTTTTTTCCCCATTGTTTGGCGTTCTCACGCAATTCTGTCCTTAAATACTCGTTTCATGATTTTTCAGGATGCCTTAATGACCAGTTTTTTTTTTTTTGGTCATTGAGGTACAGTTTACACCACACGCTGATGAGGGCCAACAGCCCGAAAGGCGTACGTGGTAACTTTTCATGATTAATTAAGAATGGGTATTTGGCCAATTCTGGAATAATTAAAAAATCAATGAATAGTTTATATTTATAATAACGAATAGATTCAAAAAGGATAAGTTTCTTTATTTGAAAAATCAATTCGAGCTTTCGGGCGCAAGCTGCCCTTCTGTAGTTTATATTTATTCCAACAGATGGAGCAAGCCATCAGCAACTTTTAGTTGCGCGATCAGAAGATGTATTTTTCTTATTTCGTTATATACCTAAGTTTTTTCAGTTTTTTTTTTTCGATTTCAAAAAATATTTGTTAAAAAAAAAAAAAAACTAATTAGGTACTAGAATGACCAACCACATGGAAACTTTGGAAATGTTACAAACTTGGAATTTGTGGAATCAGAATATTCGTGAAGTCTTAGTTTCCACAAGTGTAAGGGTTAGTAACTAGTGAACAGTCGGCTTAGGGACATGATACGGTGATGGCCAATCCGGGCAAGGCTGTTGTCTACTTGTACTGGCTAAGGCATAACTGGGACTCCGGGTTGATTGACCAGTGCGTAGCTAACTGCACTGAGACTGACCAGTGCGTAGCTAACTGCACTGAGACTGACCAGTGCATTGCTAACTGCACTGAGACTGACCAGTGCATTGCTAACTGCACTGAGACTGACCAGTGCATTGCTAACTACACTGAGACTGACCAGTGCATTGCTAACTGCACTGAGACTGACCAGTGCATTGCTAACTACACTGAGACCGACCAGTGCATTGCTAACTGCACTGAGACTGACTAGTGCATTGCTAACTGCACTGAGACTGACCAGTGCATTGCTAACAGCACTGAGACTGACCAGTACATTGCTAACTACACTGAGACTGACCAGCACATTGCTAACTGCACTGAGACTGACCAGTGCATTGCTAACTACACTGAGACTGACCAGTACATTTCTAACTACACTGAGACTGACCAGTACATTGCTAACTGCACTGAGACTGACCAGTGCATTGCTAACTGCACCGAGACTGACCAGTGCATTGCTAACTACACCGAGACTGACCAGTGCATTGCTAACTGCACCGAGACTGACCATTGCATTGCTAGCTGCACCGAGACTAATCAGTGCATAGCTAGGTGCAGGGACTGATCAGTGCATTGATAGCTACTGAAGATGATCAGTGCATAGACGGACTGTAGAATACGAGAATGCACGACAAGCTATAGGGAATTACCAATGCATGAATATTCAATCACCAAGGATGACCTGTGCACGTTTGGACTACAGAGTTGACCAGTGTGGGGCTGGCTATCAGAATTGATTAGCGCATGAATAGTTATCGGATATCACCAGCGCACAGCTGACTGCAGAGTTGACAAGTGCAAGACTAGATATAGGAACTGAATAATGCATGAATTAGATAACCAGTGCAAGACTAGGCTGCAAGATTTGCAAATGCACTGCTACTACTGCACTGATCTTGTGCATGGATAACGATTGAAGATTTACCTTTGCAAGACCTATTGGCAAATGCCAAGATGGATGGCCAATGCATAGATATCTACCTGAATTTCTCATGCCCGGATAGCACACGGGGGTGACTAATAACGGATCAGGTTACAGATTTGTTAAGTGCATGTCTAGTTACATGGATACGAGTACATCGCTAGCTACCAGAGATGACCAGTGCACGGCTATTGTTGACTTGAGGGCTGACCAGAGTTCACAGCTCCCTGAGGTAATACGAGCTCCGTGGCTAAAAGGAGCAGAGTGGTGTCCCAGAATGACGTCACCGTCCTTGGCCCAGGAGGTCGAAGTTCACGTCGCCCGCCCTTCCCTGCAGCAGGCAAACAAGAGGGCCTCTTCAGCCGTCTTGGAGGCTGGCTGCATTTGATTTTGTGTCTGATTTACGGGGCGTTCTTCTTTTGTTATCAATCGCTACACTGATATATTTTATTTCCGATTTTTACAAGCTTTGATCCTCTTTATAAAGTAAAATGATTATATGAATAATAACCCAGGTTTCTAAATTCAATTAGCGTACATATGTCGCTAACTACCCTTCAATAATCCTGTGATCATTTTACTTAATAAGGGGTATCTCCCTGAAGATTATAAAGTTACAAATAGAATGTATTTGCATCATTATTATTGTAGTAATTGAAATCAACATGCAAAATTTTTGCTAACTTCTTTTTATACCGGTTGTACGAATTTAAAGTTCAATGAATCGTAGATTATGGAAATTTGCTAACGCTAATTATAGTTAGGCATTGTCCTAAAGATAATATGTGTGTATTTCAACCATTTGTGCTAAGTATAATACAAGCCTATGTTTGGTATTGAGTATGTAAATAGAAAATGGTTATGTTAGAATGGCAGATCGGCAAAAACTCCCAACTCAAGTCAAAATATACTAAATTCGTTTATAGAGACCACCTAAAACATGGATGCTTTTAGTCTCTCATCGAGGTTGGGTTATGCAATAAGGTTTCCTGTACAAGCCCATGTTTGGTACAGAGTATGCAAATAGAAGGTGGTTATTTTAGAATGACAGAGAGTGGCAAAAACTTCAAACCCAAGTCAAAATATACTAAATTCGTTTATAGAGACTCACCTTCTAGTCTCTCATCGAGGTTGGGTTATGCAATAAGACGATCTTTAGACGATCTCTTATGTCGTTTTTTTTTTTTGCAAGGGCTCATGGGGCTCTTACTGTAAAATATACAGTATAACCTCCCTGTAAAGGACAACACCTAATTGCAGAGCCAAAAGTGTCTTTTAAGGAAGGTGTCCTCTTACCGAAGAGTTACTAAATAGTGAAAACTATCCTTTGTAGAGAGGTGTCCTCTCATGGAAGTTCTACTGTATAATAAAAATAATTCACAACTATAAAAATAACAAACAAAAAAAAGTCATCTAATTCATAGCTTTTTGGTCAAAAAGTATTTTTCTACATTATAGTTTAGAGCAATTAAAACAAAAGATCATTCTTCGACAAGGATGTAGAGGTGAATTTGGCACATAAATTGCCATTTTAAGAACGCGCTATCAAAATTTTATTGAAAAATCATTTTCCTTTTCTCATTCCGAAGATGGATCATGCCATTCCATTTTGTAGTTTAGTTCCTTATTCAAGTTGTGTGTCCTAAAAATCTGTAATTTGTAATCAATAAAGATATATTGGGTCACAATAACGTCGTTAAAAATTTAAGTTTCGAAGGAGAATTGCAAATAGTTATATAAGGTTATCCCAAAAATTCGTGTTTTTCTTAAAACGTTTTTTTTTTTTCTTATTACTTGGCGAATAATATTGTATGGTAATAAATTAAAACAAACTTATCGATAAAAATATTTTATTTAAATATAGGTTTTCAACTTTTAATTAGGCAATTTTAATTTATATTTAGAGATTTTTCATTTTAATTTAGACACTTTCATTTTTATTTAGACATTTTCAATTTTAATATAGACATTTTTTAATTTCAATTTAGATATTTTCCATTTCAATTTAGACATTTTTCATTTTAATTTAGACACATGGACTTTTCTATAAAAATGTCTAAATATAAATTAAAATTCATTATAAAGGACTGCGGCGTATGATTATAAAACAACACTTAAAGTTTCACCGCATAAGTTTCTTTTCTGTGAAAAATCAATATTTATTTCAAAGAGAAATATTTACTATTTCTAACTTTTTTGGATGAAGTATGAAAGGGTGAAAATATGAAGAGTAATGGCGAACGGAAAAATAAAAGTGTCCAGGGGCCGGAATCGAACCAACAAAGTGGACATGGCATCTGCCCGGTAAGCGGAAGGTTGTGGGTTCGATTCCCGCCCCTGGACACTTTTATTTTTCCGTTCGCCATTACTCTTCATATTTTCACCCTTTCATACTTCATCCAAAAAAAGTTAGAAATAGTAAATATTTCTCTTTGAAATAAATATTGATTTTTCACAGAAAAGAAACTTATGCGGTGAAACTTTAAGTGTTGTTTTATAAATTAAAATTGTTCAATTAAAAGTTAAAAACCTATATCTCAAGATCAAAATTTCAAAGAAAATGCAAATCACATTAATTTACCAAAAACAAAAAGATATGCAAAACAGAAAGATTCTAGATGTTTTAGAATCGTCATTAAGGTCAACAGATTATTAAAAATAAATAATTCAGTGATAAATAAATGTTACAATATTATTACGCCGAAAACATATTAATACAATTATTTTATAAATAATATAAAGACATTATACATAACGGCGAATAATTTTGCTTTTTCAATTTTTTTGCAAGTGTATACGAACTTTTGGGACAACCTTGTATAGACACAACATAGAATGCAAATATTTAGGTGACGAAAGAGAAAAAAAAAACTCTTAAAAACACCTTCTGGAGATTTAGAAACCCAATGAAGACGCTGAGAACTATTTCAGAAAAGAAAAATATAGCAATAGAACTCTATAATTTCTACAGATCAATTGTAAATATATTCATACACAAAAGAGGTAGTGAGGAAAGTTTTAGAACAGATGTGTAAATAAATCCCTTTTCGAACATAGGCTCACGTGCACATGGGGAAAGAGAGAAAAAAAATACTGTATTATTTTGTTGTTGTAGGGCGAATCCATACAGGGCAATGGGCCCTAATAAAAGCCTTTTTGTTGTATATATACACAATTAATCAATAGGATCCATGGACGTTTCTTTCTTGAATGTAAAATGGCAAGATGAAGCATCTTACGTTTTAAGTAATAATCCACTAGAATATAATAAAATGTATTCATTTAAGACATACCTCTTGGGTATTACATAGGTATTTATTTTGAAAATAGAGCAAGCCTTACTTAAATCATTAGATAGTAAAAAGGCATATATTGGATTGAATAAAATATTTATTTACCAATATGGCTTTCGACCAACCTAAATATTGGCAAATAAATCTTTTATTCAATCCAATATATGCCCTTTTATTATCTAATAGGTATTTATCTGAACAAGTAATAGCGGTATATATTTTATTTTAAAAAAAGAATAAAATTACAATTTTCGAAGATGATTTATTGGTTGGAAGTTTGTTTCGAAAAATATATGGCTACATCTCAACTAATTTCTTATTTAACGTAATTTTGATGTTAACACTTTCGACCCGAGGGACGCGAATTTGCGTCCTTGACGACATTTCACAGGTACATTGGGTCAGCTGACATCCCCCCAAACCCACTGATAGATAGACAAGAAGGTATGGGACAAGATCCTGGTAGATGCGACTTCGGTATTTAATATTATATCTATTTTTGGAAATCGGAAAGGACGCGAAATCGCATCCCTCGGGTTGAAAGTGTTAAAAATGTAAGTCTCAGGACAAGTCTTCGTCAGCTAGTGAGAAACAAATGTTTCTGCAATCAGGAAAAAATCAATAAAAGCCCAAAACATGTATACCATGGTTTTCAGACTATGGCCCTATTCAATACAGGGGCAATCTATGTGTAGAGATGAGTAGCTATACATTCATAATTGGTATAATTATTAAGCATTGTATATCCTAGAAGTCAATGTGCAGTCAAAACATACCATAAACATATATTTTTTATTAAATGAATTATGTAATTCTACTGTCCTATAAGCTTATGTCCATAGTTTTCTTGAAAACCATTTCTGAGATTCCATCTTTCAGTGCTGCGTATATAAGCAGAATCGTCCAATACAGTATTAGAGCTCTTAGAAGCGGTCTGGTGGATTAAATTGGCGAAACCGCTGGGAGGGTTCTCCACTGATGAGCCAAGCCCTCCCAATATATTTTTTCATCGCAGTAAGGGCAGTAGAAGTTTGTATTATGTATAAAAGAAACATTCGTGCTTTTAAATCCTTTCATTTTATATAAATACAATAAATAATGGAAATGTCTCCTAGATACTTATGGAATATTCTTATATGACGTTGGACTTTTTGATGAACTTGAAAGCTTATGTGATAACTTGAATCAATAATAATCTTTTATATGTATAGCTTATCATCATAGTGTTAGAATATTACACAGAGTAACAATGGCTATAGATGAGCTCGTGTTTGAAAAGGAACTTGTATATAATAATAATAATAATTTTTTTTTTGTTGTTTTCATGTAGACATATATACCAAGATTTGTTTTGTATAATTGCTATTAATAATAAATAATATGCAAAGTTAAATTGGTTACGGATTAATCCTTCTTACTTACTTTAATTACATAACACATATATGTTCTTTTGGGAAAATATATGGCTACATCTCAACTAATTTCTTATTTAGTTTACGACGTTTCAGTTGACTCGCTGTCACTTTCAACAGTGAGTCATTGAAAATTCGGGAACTAAATAAGAAATTGGTTGATGCAGCCATATGTTTCTAGTATGTTTTAACTGCATATTGGCTTCTAAGATATTCATTCAACCATTCTGGAATGTATAGCTACCTACTTCTACACATAGATCGTCTCTGTACTGATCAGGACCATAGTCTGAAACCATGGTATACAGGTTGTTGGCTTTTATCACATTTTTCCTGATTGTAGAACCATTTGTTTCTCACTATCAGACGAAGCCTTGTTCTGATTTACAAACATTTTAAATTAATATAAACCAATAACGCACTAACTATACATAATAAATTAAAATATTCAAAGCACGTTAATTTATGCCTAACTGGCTTCGTCCTTATTGTTTGCGAAAGAGCATTGCTCAATACAAATATTTATACGTAATTCTACTGTTCTAAAAGCTTATGTCCATAGTTTGCCTGAATACCATTTCTGAGATTCCAACCTTCAGTGTAGCATATATAAGCATAATGGTCCAATACAATATTAGAGCTCTAAAAGGCGGTTTGGCAGATTAAATTGGCGAAACCGTTAAGAGGGTTTATCACTGATGAGATAAGCCCTCCCAATATTTTTTTTATCGCAGCAAAGACAGTAGAAGTTTGATTTTTGTGAAAAAAAAAAAAAGAAACATTCATGCTTTGAATAAACATTTTAAAAATCAAAATTACCTTTCTAAAGCTTCACATGTTAACCTAGATAAGTAAGTAAGATGAGAGAAGGCAACCATTTTCAAGTATATACTCAATAACACAAAACTCAATTCGTCTACAAAAAGAAGCTACAGGCAAACATTTGTTCAAATATTTTGGTTCAGTATACAAAGTTAAACTTGACCCCATCAAAACGTTCAAATAAAGGTAACAACCGCTACGTTATAGTTACGATATATAGAGTCCTTAACACGTTCAAACCTGTCCTTTCAAGTGGGTGCAAGAATTGCGTCCTATTGCAACACTTTCTAACGGGGCGCCCTTTGTGCCGTTATTTTATAATCTTCTTAAACCTCTATTGAATACCGGCCGAATGACCCGGCTTCGCCCGGCTTCTGTCCGAGTGGATGTTTAACGATAATTTTTTCAACAAATGTTTATCATTTTATCATTAATAGAAATATTTACTTTAGCACATTACCATACAACAACCACGTTATATGAATGTAAAGATGATAAGGCACAATTTGGATTATATATTATAAACACAATGTAATAAGACCAAATCCAAATAAATAAATAGTGTGTGACGTTTTGTTACCGAAACGTCACACACTATTTATTTATTTGGATTTGGTCTTATTACCTTATGTTTGAGAATGTAAAGAATTCTAAAAGAGATATTGACAAATGATCTCATGGCTATGTGTGAAGTAACTTTTCACAAAATCAAAGAATGGGTAAAGGTATTGCTGGAAGGAAGTATGAAGGATAAAACTAGGAAGATGAAAGAAAACGAGAATGTAAAATATTAAACATTTCAGAAGAGAGAAGACTCTACTATACCGTTAAAACACAAGCTATAGAAAGAAAGCTCTGAGAGGACAGGAATACTTGACTGTTAGCCACCAGCCTATGGATGGTTGAGGGGGAAGAGATCGATAATAAATACAAAATACTTTAGAACTATGTACCTAAATAGCATTTGCTGAGAATGTCCTGGAATTCTATAAGGAATTCAGCCCCAGAGAAAATTCATTTAGAGACAGCAATAACCAAAGACTATTCTATTTTGGACACATCGTGAGGGCAGGGGATTCGATTGACAAGGCCGTTTTAACTAGAGAAGATTAAGGAAGAGGACGACCAAGAACTAGACTGGATACTATCAGGGAGAGAGGGACAATAGGATGTAAACTCCACTATCTGAAGAAGATGATATGAGAGCATGGATAGCTGATGAGGTTCCCCAGAAGTCGCATATGATTTGATGCCACATCGACACCCATAGTCCACCCATCAGAACCGTTGAAGCAGTTCTACTGAAATGTTTCCCAATAAATGTTGGAATTGTCTTGAGTGGTATATTGGATTTAGTTCCTTGAGAGATGACTTCGTCTAGTACTTAATATTATCAATATAGTTCCTCTTCTTGGTCTTCCACTTTCTCGATGTCCTGAGGTTAAACCTTCAAGCCTTGGTAGATGGAGTGTGAATTCTTTAACATGGCCTAGCCATTAGCATCCTTTCTTTCGGATTCTTGGAATGAAGTTTTCGCGGTAAAATGAAGTCTTCAATCTTTTATAACATTTCATCTCCTCAAAAACAAAGAATCTTTTTTCATCGTCCCTCTTGGCAGGTAACAAAAATGAATAGAATGCATTTAGGATAACTCCGCCTTTACCCTGTAAAGGCTCCTGGTCCAAAGAAACAGAATGAGCAGTTTCAGTACTTCCAAGTTAGAAACGGCTGCACATGGCGTCTGTTCCTCATGTCAGGCCATGTAGACCATTAACTATTGAAGCTAAGTTGGCCTGCTACTGAGGAATGTACTCCCA